AAGGACAGGAAGCCTGGGGATAGCACGTCAGGCCCAGGAACCCTGAACCAGGGACCTCTGCCCCTCTCCCTCCTCCTCCTCCCCCTCCCTCTCTCTGCTCCACCAAGACCAGCCTTGCCGGGGCCTCCGCTAACTCAAGGGAGGCCCTTCCCACCCAGCTCAGCCCATCAGGGGAATTTGGCTGCCTGTTAAGCCAGCTGCTCCCTCGGCAACACCCCTCCCGCCATTGGAGCCTGGCGCTGATCCTTCAACCCCGGTATGGGGCCAACCTGCCCTGGAGCTCGGCCTGCACCTGCTCTAAATCAATCAGCCCAGCAGACTTTGTGTCTGGCAGTGGGGCACCTCCCAGTGACCGGCTGGGGAGCGGACCTGGCTTAGGGCGCCCCCTTGTTGCCAGTCCTGAAGGGTGCAAGGATGCCGAGCATCTGGCAACCTGGGGCCCTGGTTGCTGGGGTGCTGGGTGTGGGGTGCTGGGGACCGGTCCAGCAAGAGGCCAGCAGTGGCTCTCCCACCCCACCCCACCCACCCCACCCAGACGGCTGCTCGGGTCCTCTGGATATCACGGCTGGCCAACCATCTGCCTTCCTGCCTTCCTGCTGCCTGTTTGGGTGGATCGGGGGCCCCTGGGCGTGCCTGAAGCAGGGAGAAGCTTTGGTTCCTGCTGGGTGACTGTTCTCCTGCAGGTGCATTAGGGGCTGGTGGGTCTTTCTCCTTGAGGGGGCTGCCTATTCCAGCAGTCTAAAACAGCCTCCCTCCAATAGCTGCCCCCCCCCGTCCCTGTGCCAGTTGAGCCCTCTCGCCCCCCATGGGGCTGGGGGCACTTAGGAGAGGCCCAGGTTGGCCTGGAGCAGGAAGGGTCCCTCCCCCAAATGAAGGGAGGCCGTGTTTCATCAAACATGCTTGGGATAAAGCTCCCATCGTCTGACAAAAATATTAAAAAAAACAACAACTCAGAGGGCACTGGGTCTTTTTTTCCCATCAGCTGACTTCTACGTTCCTGTCTTTAGCTTGTTTGCCCAGGGGAGCCGCGCCCATCCTGCCAAGGCGTGCCGCTTGGGTTTGCTGTTCCTGTGGAGTGATTATGGAGCGATGAAGAGATCTGCAGGCTTCTCTGGGAGAGGAGAGGCTGGGCAGCGCCCTCGTGGCGTGCTTCCCTGCTCTCCGCCTGCCTACCTGCCTGCCTGCCCTGGGCCCCCATCAAGACAGCCCCGGAAGCTACCAGGATCGGGGGTCCAGGCAGCTCCTGCAGCACCTTGTGGAGGGTCCCCCAGCAGGACAAGGAGACAAGGGGTGTCTCCTCCTCCTCCTCCTCCTCTCCAGGGTCCGTGCCTTCAGGCCCGGAGGCCTCCTGCATCCTGCGTCTGCCAGAGCCCCTTTGAACCTGCCCAGGTTGTGCCCATCCCGGTTTCCTGGGAAAGCGAGTCCCTCACGGGTTGTGGGAGAGAGGCCTCCGGTCAGCTGTCCATCTGGCCCCATCTTGAGGCAAACAGGGCTGCTGAGATGCGACGGACGTGCAGGATGGCCACGGTTCTCCCCGGCGATACCCTTGGGGACATCTCCGGGCCCACCAGGTGCCCTCTCTCCACGGGAAGTGTGGGCAGGGACAGGAGCAGGGGGGGCAGGTATTCCCGACAGGGAGGGAAGGAAGCCAGGAGTCCCCGCTGTGCCTACCCACCCACCCAGCTGGGGTCCTTCAGGGCCCAGGAATACCTTTTTTTTGGGGGGGGGTCCGCAGGAGAGAAGAGGAACTGTGTTTCTGGCCTTCTGGCACCGTTGCTACACAAAATCTACCCACAGATAACTACCCACACACCCAGGGAGGTAGGCAGGCTCTTGTCAGGGGAGGGGCAAACTTTAGACAATAAAAGTGGCCCTTCCCCCCCCCCCCGTTTGCTTTTCTCCCACGTGACTCGGGCTGAGCGGCTGGACTTTGATCAGCAAAAAAAAAGCGAGGGAATCCTTCGAAGTTCTCCCTCGAAGCCCTCCAGGCAGCAAATCCCCGTCCCAAGTCAGCCAGGAAGCCATCAAAACGACGTACAAACGAGCCCCCCAACACCCCCCACCCACCCCCCAAAAAGGGAGAACTGGTTGAATGACCCACAAGGGGCCGTCTGGCGTTTTTTTGTGGCTGCCTTGCCAAGCGGGGCAAAAGTGCAGATGTGCAGCAGGGAAACCCTCCAGAAGGCTAAGACGCCGCCAGATGCGCAACCTTAGCGGCCAGGAGGACAAAGGCCACTCAGCCACGTGTGGACCGCGGAATCGTGGGGACGGGAGCCGCACGGATTGCAAGCCAGCCGGAGAAACTTTTTTGGGTATAAATATTACCTGCTCCGCGCCCTTGAATGGGTCACCTCCGTCCCCAAGGGTGAACTTTTCCACTTCGGCAGAAAGAAACTTCCCTTTCCTGCTTCGCGCGGGACAGCCAGCCCAGCTGAGCCCTCCCCCCCCCATTCCTTTCCCAGAAGTTCCGGTTTGTCAGCCATGTCTCTCCCGCCCCCGTCTCCCCCCCCAAGAAAACTCTCTGGCACCCCACGGGGAGGGAGGGCTGGGCTGGGGGAGGGGGGGAGGGAGGTCCTTCCAGATGCCAGCACGGGGCAGGTCCTGCCTGGAGGAAGCCCTCGCAGCCCCCCCCCCCCCGGCTGTGGCCTCTGTGCAGGAGGGGCCACTCAGAAACACCACAAACGGTCCTCAGCGGCCGCAGGACTCCGGCCGGCCAGCCGGCCGGCCAGCCTGCCTCTCTTGTCCAGCAGAAAAAGTCCAGCAGGCGGCTAAGGAGTCCGGACACTTTACAGCAGGGGTAGTCAACCTTGGCTCTTTTATGACTCGTGGACTTCAACTCCCAGAATTCCTGAGCCAGCACAGCTGGCTCAGGAATTCTGGGAGTTGAAGTCCACGAGTCATAAAA